CAGACAGGGAGTTATAGGGAATTAGTCGGACTTGTTGTCTGCTCTAGTAGCCACTGTGTCTGTGGTAGCTATTGTCCAGAGCAGCCCTACTTTCCTGGCCAAAGACAGATGTCAGCAGTGGTCGTCTTACCCCACACAGCTGCCTAACATCACCACAGGCTTGTGTTTCGGGAGGGCATCCAGAAGCTAGTGGTGTAGACATAAGAATAAAAACTAGTGTTTCAGCAAACACTGCTGTCTGATGGTGGGATTTTCCTGGTTTGGAGCTGGAATGATTTAAACTGTTGTTGGCCTGCTTTGGAGCTTGTTTCGGTCTATATCTGGTTTTGCTTCATCACCTTGCCTCTACTTCTATTCCTGGTCTTTGGTTTGGGGTGGAAATCTAAACAGCTGGGATGGATGAACAAGCAATCCTCTGAAAACCAGACCGGCACCCCATACTCCTCCTCTTGCTTGACTGGAGCTCTCAGTAGGCACTTTATCACCCCATGGTACTGAATGGACCCCTTCATATGGGTTGAGTTTATGACCTTGCGTTCCCAGACCAAGGGTCTAGATATAGATCTTCATCAAAGACTCTCTTAGCCACCCCTTTTAGCTCAGGTCTGATGTGGGCACCATGGTCCACCAATCACAAGTCTTTACCTGTACAACTTTTGTTTTATTTTTTCATTAACTTTGTTGTTATGGTGTTGATTTACATTGGGGGAAATTCAGAAAAGCCTATAACTTTGACCTAAACTTTACCTCACTTCCCACAGGAAGTTGCAGCTTACCCACAGGAAATGGACACTTTCACATATTTAAAGAAGACCAACTTTAAGCTACAGTGGGGCACAGACACAGAAACAAATGGTACATTTGTCCTTTGTCCACTCCTTTTCATTTTAACTTACTCCCGTTTTTTAACTCTCTTGGGCTATTTATAGCTTGGTCTCATGATAGTAAGCATATTGTCTCTTATTTGTTAGGCCTGGTTGCCTGCTTTGCTTCTATCATTGCATCATTCTGAGTGGAGGCTGCAGTCCAGGCTTTATGAATGAACCAAGCCTCTGCCAGAGGATGGGAGATGGCACAGATCCCATTGTGATGTCACTGTAAAGACGAGAAGAAGAGAGGGAGCTTTATGAATCTTCTCATTCATTTCTTTGCCTTTTTCTCTCTTTTTTGGGGTCCAACCCATTCTTTTGTGAAGGGATAGGCTCATTTTTAAGGCCAATCACTTTCTCCTCTTCGACCCCGTCACCCATCACTCTTGATATGTTCCTAAACCTGGTTCTGCTTTGCCCAGCAGTGCCTGATTTGAGCCAATGAACTCTGCATTCATTCACAACAACACTAATTCAACACTGACGATATGGGACGTGAGTCAAGAGTCACATTACAACCCATTATCTCATACAGCATGGTAGGAGGGGAGTGGCTAATCAATACCTTTTACTGTACATCCAGATTAAACACACGTCTCAGTTCATCAGTCAGTCTCAGAATAGATTTACTTTCATTACGAAAAAGGGCTTCAGTACATATACTTTCCACTCCAGAGCGCCCCCCTTCCAATGCCAGCCTTGTTGGTGAAATGTGGATGCCATAATGCTGCATGTGATTTACACCCTCTCCCACACTTGGTGAGCTAAGTGGATGGGACTCGTTTTGCGGACAGACCCACGCCGTCTAATGTGGAAAGTGATGACTGGTGGATGCTTTAAGCGTCAGTGCGTACTGACCATTCTGCATCTAATGGGACTCGCAGGCATTGAAATCGTATCAGGACTTCATCATTTACTAGAGATTGTCTAGAACCGAGCTCGCCTCCCTCACTAATGGATGCACATTGTACATTAGCACTGCCGCAGATAACTTTCATATGGATCATTCACCATGGAGACTGCTCTATTATCATTCCACTTTAACATTTAGAGTTTGGCTTTCAGTGTTGCTCTGCCCTCTACTTAATGTTGTATTTTTTTTTAAAGATTTCAGCTCTGTTCATAAAAGCACATGCATATAAAATACTAAACATGGCCGTCTTTGCTGCCGTCTAACTTTGCAGCCTGCTCTGAATTCCTGCAAGGAGCAAGCAAATATTCCACTTCAATTCCACTGTGAGGAAAAGAAACAGCAAAAGTTGCATTTCACAATTTAATTTGGCCTTTAATCATGACTCGCATATTTCCCTCTTGAGTGTGCCTCATGTTAGTTCTCATACGATGGTGTTGAGTGTCTTTGATGGAGGATTTGGTGCTAAAGTGGGTTCAAGTCTGTGTGGGCGAGCACACACTGGGGCCGAGTTGATAAAAGCGACAGGGAGAGCGGGAGTGGAGGGGGGTTAACGGTTCGAAAGTGCACACAAACTCCACTCGATCCAGCTTAAATAAACTGCCACATTTTGCCTCTGCCTTCACTTCAAAGCGCAGTCTGAGCCCAAGTCCCATCTTAGTTTGCAGCGATCTGCAACATGAGCGCGGCGCGATAAACCAAAGGCAGACAGCTCACTGGATGATTTTGTAAAGTTTATTACGATGTGTGAAAAGTGTGTGACGATAGTCCACAACCCGCAAACCTGCATCAATAGAATAAACAATGTTTTGTTTGTTTACCGGTCCAACATGACAGCATGTCTATCAGAGTTGCATGGAGAGTGATCCATGATGAATGACTCGCAGTCGCACTTTTCAGAGGACTCCAAAGTGCTTTACACTACAATGTATCATTCATCCATGCACGCAGACATTCACGCCCTGGTGGCGATGAGCTTCTTGTAGCCACAGCTGCCCTTGGGTGAAATGACAGAGGCAAGCTGGGTTAAGTGCCTTGCCCAAGGACACAACAGCAGAATTCTCTGCCGGGAGCCGGGGTTGAACCTGCAACCTTCTGATTACTGGACAACCCGCTCTACCTCCTGAGCTACCGCTGCCAAAAAACAAAAAAAAAACAGTGAGTTATCTGCATTCTGTTTCAGGTCTGCTGTGACTCTTCTTATTTTAGGGAGAAAGAAAAAAAAAAACAGAAAAGAAAAGCAACCAAAAAATAGAAACTAAGAGATCTAATTTTACAAACAGCCAGACAGACACTGGTTACATGGGTGAAGGAGGAACAGCTGCTGTGCATTCCAGACAAGGTCAAGACATCAGAGGGTGGTGAAAACAAGCATGAACTAAATGTTGCCCTACTGTGTTGCTGGCAGATACAAACCGCCAGCCGGTGGAGATGCCAGCACATCCAGGGCTTGACAAATGAATGTGCTCCTCTGGGGAGTGGCAGCACTTTCCCCATAACTAATCTGCTGGTAGTGATTTGGTTATTACAGCCTTAACAGCAGTGAAAGATGTGGTTATTACAGCCTTAACAGCAGTGAAAGATGAAGTGAGATGATAGCTATGTCACAAAAGTTTGCTGTGCAGGTCTGTAGATATCACAGTGTGGTCTGACTTTCTAGCATCTTACACTGTCCACTAAGTTTATCATGCAAAATGTTTTGAGCACAAAAAGATTTGACTAGATGCGGGCATTATGGTACATAAGCTCATGTGGTTTCTGCAGATTGGGTGATAAAACTGCTTATTTGGCTTTCGTGCATCTGTTTATAACCATTTGTGGAGTTAGTTTTTGGTTTTTTTGCAGCTCCTGGAGGCTCAGGGAGCTTCTCATCCCCCCCATCCCACATGTCTGCAACTCAGTCAATCTAATTAAATGAGTGCAAGTCATCAGGCACTGTTTAAAGCCATCAAAGGGAGCTCTGTTCCGTGCTGGGTGCCCACTGGCAGCAAGCAGAGAACAGTAAACCTTGTGTGTCACTGAAGCCCTCAAGACGCGTCCCCCCCTCAGGCCTCTAAGCCACCCGCCAGCAGCCACTGTGACATCATCACCCCATCATTTGACCCTTGACCTGTCAGAATGTTTGACCCCATACTTGGTCTTGTGACAGCAGGCCCAGTGTGTTGGAGGGGGCGCTGCAGGAGGGCTAGCTGGGGTCGTGGTGTCACTGATGGGCACCAGGCGTTGCTATCCCACCCAGAATGTAAGATTAGAGAAGAAGAAAGAGTTTAAAGTTTCTGTGGCATGAGTTTCCACAAAAACTCTTATTTTTTAGTACATTTGACACAAACACTCAATGTAAATATTGCACTGTGTTGTTTTTTTCATAAATTTCTGCTTTGACCATACTGTCAGGTAGGGATGTGAATCTTAGAGCAACTCACGGTTTGATTCGATTCTGATTCTCGGGGTGCCGATTCGATTCAGAATCGATTCTCGATTCTCAATTTAAATCAATTCACAGCCAGTATTAACAAAGAGTGTCAGCTCCAGGATGAACTACTTTGTTGTACAAGTTAGTTAAAGCTTTGGGACATTTTTATTTGAAACTGGTCATGCTCCAAAAATGCAAATATACAATGTAAAATAAAGTGATTCTAAAACTGTAAACAGAAGCAATCTTCTGACCAAAAGGCAACATTTATTTTTGCTTACCTTGTAAAATATAACACATCTGTAGTTACCTAACAGTAGCTTTGAAAGTAATATGGTCAAATACGTTTCAAGTATGTGTAGAAACAAGTTACATGAGTAATCCTGAGTACTCATTTATCAGCTTAGAAAATAAATATGAGAATGTCTCAAATTTCTGGGTATGGAAAAAATTACATTCATGTGCCCTCTTATCAGCAGATTCAAACATAAATCATCTCAATTTATGGGACCACAAAAGTAAACGGAGTACTGACTCTCCTAACAAAGATCAAAAAGTGCATCTCAAACCTGTAACATGCCAAATATTTGAGTTCTTGGAATCGATTCTGAACCTTTGTGAATCGATTCTGAATCTTTATAAATAAGAATTCCGAGTCAGACTTGAATCGATTTTTTTCAGCACCTATACTGTCAAGCCTGTCTGATCCTTGTAATTATGTATTCTGTAAAGTTTACCGTTGATATTTAAACATCAACATGCGTTGTTGTTTTAGCTTGCGATTCATGTGTACATTCTTGTTTTGCAGATCCAGAGTTTGGAGATGTCCCCATGTTGACTCCAGGGAGCAAAGAAATGATGGCCCAGGCTCTGATGGCCACCTTCAGTGGCTTCACAAAGGAGCAGCAGCGACTGTGTATCCCCAAAGGTAATCTGGTCGGATGCTTGGATTCTCATAAGTGCCTCATAATGTTTCCACTGAGATAATCAGAATTTAATCAGCCAGGCACGAGCGAGCAAAATCACCAGAATGTGCTTTGTATTGGTAGAGTCAATTGTTCCAAATCACACGCCAAGTTTAGAGCATTTAATTTAGTCAAGGCATCTCTTAGATCAGCAGGGTCCAGTGCTTGTCCTTGAAGGAGGCTGTTCTCCACCAATGGTCCCAAATATTCTAATGTATGTTTCTTTTCCTTTTATCTTTTTACTAGTCTAAGTGACAATGTGTATTTTCCCTGGCAATAGGGAGCAGTACATACCTAAATCATTACAACCGAGCTGTATTTTTGTGTTTGAGTAAGACCTTACAAATGGCATTAGGGTAAAAAAAAGGCGTATTTTGTCAGGTTGTTTAACCTCCAGCAAAGTGACAAGAACATCAGACCGAGTTTCATCACTGGCAATGAGTGAAGAGGTAAATGTGCAAAATAACGTTCATGAATGGAGAAAGTTTTGTAACCGCTTGTTACAAATCAGTAAATGCATTTTGTCCTCATGGGTTCCTGTAGAAGGAAACATCCATCCATCCATTTTCATCCGCTTATCCAGAGTCGGGTTGCGGGACAGTAGCTTAAGGTGAAAGGCCCAGACTTCTCTCTCCCCAGCCACTTGGGCCAGAAGGAAACATGCCATCTAATATGGCGTCGCCCAGAGACCTACACCCACTCCCATGTATTTTAGACCCGTTAATTATGGTTTTATGAGGCTGCCATTATTTTTCAACAACTGGGCATCATTTCATTAATTTTCAGCAACATTTTGAGGGATGTTTCCTGAGCTCAATGGTAAAAAACACACATGATCTGTTTGAGTGCAGTATATTGCCCCCCCCCCCCCCCCAAATAAGAAACATATATATGTGTGTGTATATATATATATATATATATATATACACACACACACACACACACACACACATATATATATATATATATATATATATATATATATATATGTGTGTGTATGTGTGTATATATATATATATATATATATATATATACACACACACACACATATATATATATATATATATATATATATATATGTGAGTGTGTGTGTATATATATATATATATATATATATATATATATATATATATATATATATATACACACATACACACACATATATATATATATATATATATGTGTGTGTATGTGTATATATATATATATATATATATATATATATATATATATATATATATATATACACACACACATATATATATATATATATATATATATATATATATATGTGAGTGTGTGTATATATATATATATATATATATATATATATATATATATATATGTGTGTGTGTGTGTGTGTGTGTGTGTGTGTGTGTGTGTGTGTGTATGTATGTATACAATATGTTTGTGGCACAAATTGTGTTGTTTTGTTTTACTAACCACCTCTAGGGCATAGTGGTCAAAAAAACTGTGAATTATATAATTTAAAGTATGGTTAATATTACAATAAATGCCCCAAATGTCTTGAAATGGGTCAAGATCAAATCTCTCGGCAACTGTTTGATAGCTTGCAGCTTGTGCTGAAAAAGAGTCCATCTTTATCGAACCCATCGCAAATTTAAGTATGCAACAAATTTATGTATGAAACAAATTTAAGTAGGCAACAAATTTATGTATGAAACAAATTTAAGTATGCAACAAATTTCCATCAGCAGTGTGGACACAATCCAGCCTTTAACATTATGTATGCTTATTTTCCCTTTTAATTGTGCCCAGATCCCAGACAGTGGACAGAAAACCACGTGGCGGAGTGGCTGACGTGGACCGTGAATGAGTTCAGCCTGAAGAACGTCGACTTTGAAAAATTTAACATGGATGGAGCCACGCTGTGTGCAATGGGGAAGGAGCGGTTCTTGGACTTAGCACCGGACTTTGTTGGCGACATACTTTGGGAGCATTTGGAAATGCTTCAGAAAGGTAAGAGCTCGCAGGATTGTTTCTTAGGATGACGATTTAAAAATGCATGCTAGAAAAAGCTAATTTCACTATTTATTCCAATTGAGGGTTTTGTAGCATTAGTTTGGTAACAGGAGCTGAACAGGAAGGCACGTTTTGGCTGGAGTCATTAATTTTTGATAGTGCTGGATGCAGTTACATGATAGAAAACAAAAATCAATGATGAGGTCACTGATGCTCACTCTCTATCCATTTTTTATGAAGAGGATACAAAGCATTACCCCATCAATGGACTGACCTCCAACTTCCAGGAATCCCGCTATACCTCAGACTATTTTGTCAGTAAGTACTTATCCCAATCCTTGTCAATCACTATGTCTTGCAGGGTACACGCTCAAGAAATGAATACAAATGTGGCAAACATCTACGTTCACACCTGGAATTTGATCCCCCACAATAAAAGATGCTCTTTTCTAGCTTAAACATTCTCATGTGTTCCCAGGCTATGGCATTGAGCATGCTCAGTGTGTCCCTCCTTCTGAATACTCAGAGCCCGGCTTCATCACAGAATCCTACCAGACGCTCCATCCCATCAGCTCAGAAGAGCTGCTCACACTCAAATACGAGAGCGAATATCCTGGCATCATCCTGCGAGACGCGGCACTGAACTCCATGCAGGCCGACTACTTCACCGTCAAGCAGGAGGTGGTGTCCCCCGACAACATGTGTGTGGGACGCCTGAGCAGAGGTGAGACGTCACACTGCTGCAGAGGACAGCTGCATTTCATAGAACATTTTCCAGAATTTGAACAAAGCATCCTCGCGGCGAAAGGCGCTGTGTTTGTAAATGAAATATTTGAGAGGATGTTGTGATGGTGCGTGCGAGTGCGTAAGGTGTCTGCCTGCGTGCGATTGTGCTGAAGTAAACAAAATCTTGTCGTGCCACATCAGTGTGCACGTATTAGGAGAGAAACTAGGCAGGCCCTCTGGTTGGTTTGTGGTTCGAGCTAACCCGCCTCACACACTCAGAGCTAGGGTTGGAAAAAAAAAAGCCCTATTGTTTTTGTCAGAGTGATACACGAAGCAAAGCCACAGTCTGTTTTCTTCTTACCGCCTGTGTCCCGTATGTAAAACAGCTCAAGTGGTTTAACCTTAAAGCAAAGGTGTATATTTTTTTCTTGGCCTCTTTTCCTCAGCTCCGCCCCTGCATTCTGGGTAAGGAGACAGAGGTGTCATCGTCAGGGTTTTCTCATGAATCGCTTTGTTGTTATTTTTCAAAAAAATGCACAGGCTTGTTTTGTCTCCCAGTGATCGTTCACAGTAGAATTAGCCGCCTGGTTTACATTTACAGCCTTAGAGTGAGGCTTTTCTTCTTACAAATCCCCCAGCTGTATAAATGAGTAGCATGCATGCCAATCCACTGCAGCGCTTTACGCATTCGCCTGCAAGTTTGAAGGTCCAGTCGTCACGCAACACACATACCAGGCTTTCTGAGCGTCGTCTTGTTCTTTCTCGACGTGGGAAAGTACGTTGGAGCTCCGCTGATTTCCACATGTGGCTTCAATTTCACCAGCTGAAGATTTCAGCATCAGTGGAGCTGCATTATCTGTCATTTGTTAATGACCTACCATTCAAAGAGCACGCGTATCTTTCCCAGGGCCAAAAATAGCAAGACCATTTGTGTGATTGTCTCCCATTTAGAATCAAATCCAAATGGTGGTTTTAAAAAAGTAAATGAGGTGTGAAATGTAGAAACAGGAGCTTTGGCACAGTAATATTTATTGTTGTGTTGTTGCAGACATTTGCTATTGTGTTAAAATATTTAAAAATGTGATTAATTCCTGTGTTTGGATACTAAAATTATAAAGGACAGGTGCATGGGGTCCTCACAAAGTTGTGGTTATTTCAAGGTTATGAAAGTTAATGACTACTTAAAATTATGATTGACCAGGCCTGCCAAGCTGCACATGGTTCACACCTTTTGGCTTTTAAGTGAGAAAACATTTGTTTTTTTACTTGTGATTTTTTAAAATATGATCGCATATGCAGGCTGAATGTAAAAACAGTCTTTTACCCTTTTTTCCTGCTTTAGCCGGCAATTTATCAGATTGGGAAACCCACTGAAATCTACGTGACGCTGTAAACTAGCATTCATGAACCACCCATCTCGGCTTGTGACCGGGGAGGCTGTGACGATCTTTGCATCCAGGAGAGAGCAGAGCACCTCTAGGCTAATAAAAGCTAACCGTTAGCATTAGCAACTCTACAACATAGCAGAACTCCTTCAGGCTTGTGTTCTTTGTGGAAATAAAGCATAAATGTTGCAAAGTCAACGAGGCAAAAGAGTCGCGTTGTGCTGACTCAGAATCCTGCCATTTTCTGCTGCCCACTCCTCCGGTTGTCTTCCACCTCCTGAATCAGGAGCTCCAGAGCTTTCCCACAGGACATTCATTTATACTAGAGACCACAACCACTGGAATCAAATAATGAGTGAATCTGAGCTATAAAGTGAGGGGTTTTAGTCGTTCACACAATATACAAACAAAGTCAGTCGCACCGATTTAGTGGAAAACAAAACATGATAAGAGGAACTGGACCAATTAAATTAGAGGATTTCATTCTTTGTACCCACTAGTGATAATGATGTAGTGCCGCATGACTAATTATCCTTTTAACACTCTGAGATCTATACAAGACACAAGGTCTAAGTGTGGAAAATTCTTTATAACATAATGGCTCTTGGGAAATTGAAAGTGAAATATTAATTTGGAGCATGCTGCGATGTATTTTACAATGGTAAATCATCACATTGTAAGAGACTGGAAAGCTTTAAAAAGAAACTAGAAAAATTCTTGATTTTGATTCTGGTGAAGGTGATGGAAGCAGTAGAAGTGTGTTTATTTTTATTGCTCCACTTCACAATTAAAACCATCACAAAGTGACAAAACCAATTCAGACCAGGTCCAGATTCAAAGCCAGCTTATACTGCATATAGTACATTATGCTAGTAGTAATATTCTGTTCTGTATTATTGTATGTCATTATATTAAAGGAAACTAAGCAGAGTTCTTTGAAACTTTACTTTGATGCACTCTGATAGAGTAAAGTCAGGAATACTCTCTTTTACCAGGAGGAATCCTCCAGAACCTGAATGAATGACCAGCAATTAGAAGTTTTATGATAGAAACTGAAACAATAATTAGTGTCAATCCAAACATAGACAGTAAAGAGAAGCATGATGGCTTCAAACAACCAGAATTTCGACTAAATTTCCTTCTCATTGATGAACCCTTGTGCCTTTCTTCCTCTCAGGTAAGCTCGGAGGCCAGGATTCCTTCGAGAGCATTGACAGCTATGAAAGCTGTGATCGACTGACCCAGTCGTGGAGCAGCCAGTCCTCATTCAGCAGCCTGCAGCGGGTACCGTCATACGACAGCTTTGACTCAGAAGACTACCCCACTGCCCTACCTGGCCACAAGCCCAAGGGCACCTTCAAAGACTACGTGAGGGAGCGCTCCGACCTTAGCAAAGATAAACCCGTCATCCCAGCAGCTGCGCTGGCGGGATACACAGGTAGGAAGTTTAGTATTTTTGACCTCATTCATTGCTGAAAAATTGTTGAATTGAAAGAATAGTTTTGATAGGCGTCATTTGTAGAGTTAAATTAAAAAAAGTAATAGTTTATTCTCCACTTTCACCACTTTGGCGCAGAGCTGTAACACTTGATGCTCTGCACCAACACGTGGGAGTGCAGAGCCCAAAAAAGACCCCCCCCCACAAAAAAAAAAACAACACTCTTTACTCAGCCGATGCCCAAGTTACACACATCACAGACAGCAAACTGGATTTACTCTCACCTCCTTTTCTTTTTTTCCTTCTCCTTATTTTATGTTTCTCACTTTCTTTCTCTGTCTTCTCTTCTCATATGTCTCTTCGTTATCTGCAGCCCGCATCTCAACCTATTTTCCAGGTCGTCCTAGCAACGCTGGGGAAAATAAAGGAGTTGTGCCTGCCCCCTTCGTGCAGCACTAGAACAAAACTATCTCTACATCTTCGCACTCATACATGCTCCAAAAGCTGCTTAGCACATGTTCTTCAGGTTCACTAAGATGTGCAGATATTTGCAACCTCTGAAGCAAATGCACTATTTTAGCATCTGCAATCTGCTGCACTTGCTACCATGTGCAGCTTGAGTCAACCAACTGCATTAGCACACGCAGAAGGTCCAAAACCAAACTCCAGCTTGCTTGAACACCAGACTAACCTGTCGATGCTGCAGAACGCTGGGATTTTTCCAGTCTTGTCTAGAATTACAGTCACATGACAGCGTGATCGCTTACAATTAAAAAGGGGAAGTCCACCACTTTTTTTCACGTCATGAATGATGCCTAAATCAGATTTCATTAAACTGACAAAAGGCCAGTCTGCACAAGTTAAACTGGTCACTTTCAAGGCTGTTGGTCCAAAAACCACTTTTAAGACAATTAGTCAGTCATTTGTAAGTATGCTGGAATGCTCTAATGTAATCAGATTACTGTTGGATCCACGCTGAAACCAATCCAGCGGACCAAAAGTAAAAGACCCAAATAATCTAACATTTTGTATTACTGTTAGTATTTTGTGACTCATAGATTATTAACATGAGCATTCATGAAATATTTCTTCTGCACACTCATACGTGGACAGTTTTCATTCTCTTCTCACTGGCACGTTTTATCCAACGAAATGTCCCTTACAGCCGGGGTATTCAATTCCAGTCCTGGAGGGCTGATGTCCAGCACATTTTTGTGGTTTCTCTGCTGCAACACACTTGATTCAGTGGTTGAATCACCTGTGCAGCTGATCAGGCTCTGCAGAAGTCTGTTAATCACCAGCTGGTTGAAATCAGGTATGTTGAAACAGAGTTAAAACTAAAATGTGCAGGACACCGGCCCTCCAGGCCTGGCAGTGGAAACCCCTGCCTTGCAGTAACAGTCCCGTAAACAATGTTCATGGCAGCTTGGTAAGCTGCTCTTCTTGACTTCCTGTTGAAGTCTTGGGGTGACAGGTGACACTTGTACCAGGGAGAAGGTGTCAGATAAGGTTGGTGAGAGATAAATGTGGTATATTTTTTTAAGTTTCCACTGATAATTTAGTTCTTTTTCACACCTCCAACACTGACATCATGCAGCCTAAAAACAAGTTGAATTTATAAGAAATTACTTGGAGCACTGGCTTGTCTGTTGGTCTGTCTCAGACAAAAACAATAAAACAATCAATGTTCTCATTGCAGTGAGACATAGTTGTGATGTTAAGGTTTTAAATAGCTTTGGCCTTTTTGTTTTCTCCATAGCCTCAAACACTGTAATTCATTTAACACGCAGTGAATTCGATACTGAGCGTAACTGTGCATAGAAGCCCCCGCCCTCTGAGCTCTTCAATGAGGCCCTTGTGCATCCAAACTGAAACATATTTTTGGAAACTATTTTTTTTTATTCATGTGAGAGGGGTCGCCTGAATTGGAGCACGGGAGCACGGGGGATGGGTGAGGGGGTGGCATTGCCCTCGCGTGGGCTGACTTTTGAACATGAGCCGAATCTTTCTGCGTGCTGCAAGACCACCTATTTCCAGACTCTGCGTGACTGCTGTTATGCACCTTCAATCGTAGCAGGAGCTTAAAAAAAAGGTGTCTAAAATGCCGCCTCAGGTCTTCAAACCCACACGTCTGTTTCCCTGAAAGCTTTGGTTGGCGTAGTTTAAGGGCGCGTTTGGTTTTCTTAGGCACTTGAGAGGTGAGTTCTGCTCAGCTCCAGTTTTGTTGCGTGCTGCACAGGCAGGTGTCATTTCAACATGCGAGACTCAAAAGTGGCTTAGTTCTCGTACGTGCTGAGAAACCACACGATGAAAGTGCAGCGCTGCGAATCTAGTTCACAGACAAAACCAGCCCCCCGCTTTTTGCGATCGTCTTTGTTCTTCTTTCCCTCCTTTTTTCATGAACTGCATAAAACTCTTGTATTAGTGTTAAAAATAGGCTTCACTGGGTTATTAGCTGCATTTTGTATTTAAAACAAGCATGTCATTGTAGCAGATCTGATGACTTAAGAGCTTCTCGTTCATCTGGAGCCGTCTGTGTGTGAGTCCCGTAGATGTGCTGCAGCGGCTCTCATTTTAAAGCAGTGATTTCATCAGCATGGAACTCATGCAGACAGGCTCTGGATTCACATACAGGACAGGGCAACGGGCAGACAAGGGAATGCATGATGAATGAGACCGTTATATTTAAGAGGACATTTGGTTCCACTGCTTTTTTCTTCAGCCGGACCCACATTAGAGGGTTTACTTTGTCCCTATTCAAACACAACGGAATTACTTGCATGAATATTTAACATCGAAGCGGTGCAAAGTCTTTGACCCCTTTATTTTCTCTTATAAGGCTTGAATACCTCTTGCGCTGCACTTCAATTTGTAATCTAGTTATGCTGATGCAGCCCCTTTTGGATGGCTTTTAGCTTTAATAATCCATGCACAGAACTATTGTCTGTAATGCACAGTTGTAATGCATCAGAACGTGAACATGTACCCTAAAACCAGATTTGTTTGTTCTGAAGTCACACTTACCTCCTGTGCATCGGCACAAACAACGATGCGTGCTTTTCTCAGTTCAAACACCTTGTCTTGCATCTGTTCTGCAGGCAGCGGGCCCATCCAGCTGTGGCAGTTTCTGCTGGAGTTGCTGACCGACAAGTCTTGCCAGTCCTTCATCAGCTGGACAGGCGACGGCTGGGAGTTTAAGCTTTCTGACCCAGATGAGGTGAGAGGTTGTGACCCCGCTAGTCTCTGGCACACGAGATGGGAGGTCCTAAGTAGTTGGCCAGATGAACAAGATGTCTTCTTTGTTCAAACAGTCACCTCTTGTGTTTGACGTTACTGATGTTTTAGACTATTTTAGCCCGCTTTACATTAGCATCGTTTCTGTTCTGGAACTTTCAGCTGTTATCTACTGTAAACATCTCTTCTTGGTGTTCCAGGTCGCTCGTAGGTGGGGCAAACGAAAAAACAAGCCCAAGATGAACTATGAGAAACTGAGCCGCGGCCTGCGTTACTACTACGACAAGAATATTATCCACAAGACGTCTGGGAAACGCTACGTCTACCGCTTTGTCTGTGACTTAAAAAGCCTATTGGGCTACACGCCGGAAGAGCTGCACGCCATGTTGGACGTAAAGCCCGATACGGACGAGTGAAAGCAAAGATGGGAAAAAAAACCCAGAAAGGAGCGAGGACACAAGCTAATGAGCCACTTGGACTGAGGCTCGTAAAGTGATCTTAACTGTTTGGTAGAGTTGGTAAACCGGTTATTGGAGGACCAAAAATGTTTTTAATGACAAACTGTGGTCAACTTTGAGCTCCTGTCTGTCAGGCCATGTTTTAAAAGGAAGGCAGAAGCCAAAAACCTGTAATCACACCTTGTTGGATCTGAGATGTGTGTGCGTGAGTGTGTGCATGTGTGTGTGAACATGAGCGTGTCTGATGCATACTGGTATTATTTAGTAACTCAAGGCAAATGAAGTGCTTTTGGGTAGAGTTCAGGTTTTCTTCTGTTCAGAGTCGCTGAGTGGAGGAAGTGAAAAGCACAGAGACACACAACCAAAAGAGATTTTCTTTGTCGGGTTACATAAAGAGCAGGTGGAAAGTTCCTGCTGAAGTAACGGTTGCCAAACTGTTAGGTATTATGTCGTATATATTATAATACTAGAACTCAATTCAAAACTGTTTTTTTTTTTTAGTTAGGGGCGTATGAAAACAGAATCAACCATTGGATGCAAGACTGTTATGTTCTTAATGAGCCTTTTAGCTGAAATGTGTTGAGTTGTGTCAGACAACACTATAGACTCTGGCCCTGTTGTGTGAAGGGAGGTTACTCATACCCCGTTTGCCTGAAAGACAACTGAAAGTAGCCGTTGCTTTTGAAACGGGTGCTTTCACCTTTACGTCCGCCTTGTTCGAGACACGCGTTGTGACTGAAACCTTTTTGTTTTTCTTTTGCATATGCCATGAGTATTAGCAAACTGTAGACAATCTGTATGGGAGGGGAGATTCAAGAGGTTTTGGGTAAGAACTCTTGGAATGTGTCACTGTTCACGCTGGCATTTTGTCGTGTTTTTGTTAGTCCTGTAAATCCATCCAACCACACGTTTTCTAACCGAGGGAAGGATTTGAGAACAATCCTTGGAATGTAGAGTTTGTTATTGAGGAAGGAAAGGAACCAGAGTACAACATACAGGTACATCATAATGGAAAGATGATGAGGATGGAGAGCTGTTTGGTGAAGATGAAGGTGAATAATGCAGGTGATGACCACTGATGGTTGGAAACAGACAGAAACAATGTTGATTTGCTTGACATGTACAAGGCTCACGAATGAAAACAGCTTTATACATGTAGGTGTCAGAACTCAAGGATGTCTCCAGTATGTGCTTCGAGTGCATCTTTGTCAGTCAAGTGGTTATTTTAAAGTGGATAGGCAGCCTGTCCCCTCCAACAGTGGGAACTGTGTCTGCAAACTGGGAAATGCCAAAGTTGAACATTATCTTCGAATACAAAGTTATTGTTTACAGTGGCTGAATGTTACCCTATGGATGAAAATAGCTTTTGAGATGTCTATTTGTTCAGATTGTGTTTCATAATGCTTTATTGAGACCCGGATTACACAAATAAGCAGGAGAGACGAAGCAGGAATAATAACCAAAACCCATGTGAGGTCTTTGGCTGCACAAGATGTGGACCACAATTCTCTTATGTGCGTTGGAAATGGTTGTCTTTTATCTTTTTGGTTCAATGTTTGTAAAGCAGCCCGCTTTAGGGGAAAAGTCTTTGCTGATTTGGGTTTTCCACCGAGTGCCGAAACAAGATGCTGTAGTTGTTGTTAATATGTGAAACGCTTGTCCGTCGTTATCAAGCACTGACTGTAAAAACTTGTGTTGCTTCTACAACACAGAGCATTGGGCCAGAAACAAAACCACGTGTTATAAACTGCACTGTATGTTCATTCCTTTTGTTGTGTTGTTCTCAAACAGTGTTTTAAAATTTTTGTTTCTATTTTTAGTCACTTTCTATTAAGTAAAATATTAAACTTGTTTAGTCAGGAATTTTTCGTTTTGTTGTTTTCATGTGGGAGACTCCAATCTACGGCAGGACTGATGCATTATTGACTCACTCACACCAATACCTGATGGCATTTGCATATCTCAAAATGAATTCAGAAGGAAAGCCTTATTGTTTTGGATGTTGTGCTCTTTTTTGTATATTTCAAAATGTTGTTTTGTTTAGTTTTTTATGTTATGAGATAATTTTTTATTGTATTTAGTTCACAAACATTTTGAATATTTTTCAATAATTTATATTTTATAAAAGACAAGAGATGCAGACAGCTGGTGCTTTCACGGGAATTTTAACGGTAGTGCAGGACAAAATAATGTAGCGATTTTTATTTTCCAATTTTTGTTTTTTTATATATATATATAGAAAATAAACCTGTCTGCTAGAGAGGAAAAAACAGGCTGATGCTGGCCCATCAATGACTTCTGCTGGAAAGGTTTTATAAACTGTAGCTTCTATTTCTAAAGTGTACTTAATGTACTTCAAAATGTTATAAAATATATGTGAAGACAAATTGTATCACTGTGTGGTGTTTCATTTTATTCAGTCATGATGTATTTAGTACATTTTGTCACATATATTGCCTCGGTAGCTCTCTCTATTGTTTTACATAAAACAATGTAAACGTCGGAGTAATCCTAGTGCACTAAAACATTTCCAGACATTATCGTTACATTTTCCAGGTCTTCTATGAAAATCTTTTGGTTTGATGCACAGCATTGACTCATCAGCTTTTAAGGGACATTCTGTCTGATGTTTCTCAAAGTTGCAACTCATCAAATTCAAAGAGTCTGTCAATGTCAGTTTGACTTGCAACACAAAACAGGAAACCTATATATGTCAAAAGCAGCTAGCAAGCTGCATGATCATTTCTACTTTTGAGCTTGATTGTTGAAAAGTCTGATAGCAAACAGTGTTCAACCTTCGTCTGACGAGGCTTGATGGTAAGATCGTAAAGGTAAAATGGGATCAGAGCATTGAGAGTCTTAAAGGTGTGGTTCACTCCTTCAGTCATTACATTTGCAGGGGTTTCTAGAAGGAATGAATGCCAGTAACTACTAGCAGTTATCCACATCACAGCTGAGCTTCAGACGGCAGGTTTTGGGAGTCTTATTTATGATATTTAAACATCTCTCCTCGGTAACGTGGGTGTTTTATCTCCACAAATAACACAAGCCTGGAGGAGCTTCTGCCATGTGGTGGTGTTACTAATTTTTAACGGCTGGCCAAAAATAGTCGGGACATTCTCTACTGTTTCTTGAACACTAAACCAACAACAGGCGTCCCCCTTCTGAGTCAAGATGGGTGGGTCCATGATCTGTGACGTAGATCTGTCAGGCTTTTCAAATCCTAGAGTTTTACCATCTATTTTCTATCAGAAGTAATGCAGGAGATAGGTGTAGGAGACTATTTTCATGTTTAGACTGCATGAAAAATTGAGAGTGACCCATTGTAAACAGAAATAATGATTAAAAATGGATTTTCAGTGATCCACACCTATAAAAAATGTTATATTATTGCAATTTACCAATCAAAATTTTATTCCATGCTTGAATGAAGCCTGTTTAATTATAACATGTAAAACAGTGCTTAGAAATAAACAGAAACAGAAGCAATGGATCAAGTTTTGTGAAACTGCTGATCTTGTAACAATTTAATAGTTGAAGTGGAGACAAAGTGGGGGGAAAAATTGAAATTTGCACATTTGTTTCCTCGTAATTTACCTCTCATACCCACCTCTTCTACGTCCCAACACTGACACAAAGCTGGCTCGGGCAGACTCTACTCACACATTCACCCCCCCCCCCCCCCCCCCCCCAAAAAGAAATGATTAAATCTTCCACTGATTTAAAGAGTGTTTAGGAGTGGAAAGACTTGGTGGGGGTTATGGGACAAAGTAAGAATTTCAGTGTACACTGTACAAGTGACAATAAATACTTTGATTGAGCTTTAAAAAAATCCAATCCCAACAGTTCATTAAAGACCAAGTTCACTGAGAAACAGTTTTTTACTTGTTATTTAGAAAATGATTGGTCTTTCTGAGTTTAACATCATGGCTACTCGTGAAAACAGATTTCTACTTTTATTTCCTAATTTGTCTGCTGATAGAAAATAGACGGGGTAACACTAAAACTATAAAGCAGCCAACTGCTTGTCACAATGAAAATTAGCATATCTGGACACACCCATCTTGGCTCGTGACAGGGGTAAGGTTTTCCAGGAGAGAGTAGAGCACTAGTAGAAGCTAATCTTTAGCATTAGCAACTCCACAACAAGGCAGAACTCCTTCAGGCTTGTGGTATTTGTGGAGATAAAACACCAAAGCGGGTTTCCATTAGAATACTTTTTATGTGTATTTATGTGGGCTTTTTGCATCATATACAAAAGTTGAAGGGCTATCTACAATTACCCAATAGACAAAGATCCAAAAGAAAAAAAAAGCATGACAAAAGCATACAGTACTAAAACGATCATAATTCATATCAGCACGTTTCATATGGGTTGTTCCGGTTTTGACTGGTGTGTCCCAGGAACACCGATAAGGTGATGTAAAAATGAAACCGACACACAGGGGCCCATTCATGTTCTTGCAAACCGCCTCATATAAATTCCACTGCAGATGGAAAACATGCTGCACCGTGGCCTGCTGCCCAAACTCCACAGATGTTTGGCCTCTTTGCAGCCATGTAGCGTTGGGAATCAGCAGAAACAAAAAAACATCAAACTCACAGTATTTCTTAGAGGTAGAGAAGATAGATAGAGCAGATGAAACAAACAGCATAAGTGTGTGTGAGTTTAGTTTTTGACATTTACATATTAATCACATTTGCTGTGTGAAATCTCACAGTGACTCTTGTTAACCATGTTGGAAGAATCAATAAAATTAAGTCACAAGTCTGACTTTATTCACTTGTAAATTAAAACAGAAGAGTTGACTTTATTCCAGGTACTCTCTCGTCTGTGCTGTTTCTGGTGG